GAATTGTGTCTATCCTAACCAACTGATGGTAATTACGTTTGAAATGACTAATTGTGACATGCAATGAAGAATTTATATAAGGAAAATATCTCAATTATACTCTTCTTAGGAAATATATTATCCTCTAATTATTTATCATAATAAAGCGTCATGAGATTAGATGTTAGTAACAACAAAGCGTACCTGGGTATAATGGTAACATTCTGTTGGACGAAATTTAACTTCGATTCATCTGACATCAAAAGGTAAATAAAGGCATCTAACCTTCAACAATGTTTATGAATGAAATGTAAAGTGGAATTCGAAGCTTAGGAATTATGCAAAAACCATTATAATGTTCCTGATGAATTATATACTAGACACATAATTGAGGATGTTTGTTATGCTAAAAACTTGACAGAAAACAGAAACGCACAACTCATCTCAATATATAATGATATGAATGCTGCATAAGTTTTTTTATTTGAAGTTTCAAATTGTTACACACTTTCAGGTATCATTCAGAATGTTTACTTGTTATTTTGTCATTTTTAACGTTATAGGATACAGGAGTCATTCGAAAAGTTTCATAATATTGTAATGAGTCTCTTTTCCACTCGCGAGAATCCGGATTTGGATAATCACAATGAGATTTTTATCGATTTTCGAACGGACCTGTTTCATGTTCAGGCAATTTATATGCAACTTTTCGATGATGCAAGTGTTCTGCCTATAAACAGTATCATGGCAGGTGCTACTCGACAAAATAGTAATGTTAAACCACGCAAAATTGAATTGTTTAGATTTGGAGGAGATATGAAAACTTGGCAAACTTATAAGGATATGTATGTTTCATTAATACATGATAACGATTCATTGTCTGACATTGACAAATTCAATTATTTAATTTCTTCTCTAGAAGATGCTTTATTATTCTTCACCTTGTACATTATATGTAGATGCACTCGTACGCCTGCTGCAAGGGCGAGACACTTTTTTCGCATCTTCTTCGCCATAATAGGTTTTCATGTCGATGCCTGAATTTTCAGCAAATGATATCCCATAAAAAACAAGAAGTTCGTCTCCTTTCAGTATATTTCTTTTGGATTTGTAATATAGATCGCCCTCACACTCAAAGGCTTCAAGATTCTTCTCTTGCTGGGTTCTGGCACAATTTACGAATCCTAAATAGTTTGAGGTAGTTTCGTCAGTTGCATCGATAAATTTTCCATCTCGCAACTCCCAAGCATATCCGATCTCTGTTTTCATGTCAGTTAGAATTCCTTCATACGGTCCAAGCCAAATTCCACTTTCCAAATTCTTCAAGGCAACAACTCCATATCCGTTAATATCGGAATGACGAACTTCCAATATGTCTGTTTGCCTCCTTCAAAATGATTCCTTTTGGGTACAGCCCTTTTTGGATTTCTTCTTACAGCAGACAGGAGAGTTTTAATGCATATTCTTTATGGAGGCGAATATGGTTCCATAACGTCGGAGTCATCCGAAGCAGATGCACTTTTTCCTGGAGGTTCCATCGTGGAGTCCGCCACAGGAAATCGAAATACAGGAGGCAGCAGAGTTTTAACTGCTCTTCTTTTTGGAGGTGAAGATGGTTCCACAACGTCGAGGTAATCCGAAACAGATGCACTTTTTTCTGGAGATTCCATCGTGGAGTCCGTTATAGTTGATAAAAACGCAGGAGGCATCAGTGTTTTAACTGCTCTTCTTTTTGGAGGCGAATATGGTTCCATAACGTCGGGGTCATCCGAAACAGATGCACTTTTTTCTGGAGGTTCCATCGTGGAGTCCGCCACAGGAAATCGAAATGCAGGAGGCAGCAGAGTTTCAACTACTCTTCTNTACGAATCTTATAGAAAACTCCAGCAATAAAAACAAAGCCATTTGGGATATAGTAAATACACGCTTGAATAAGAAACACCGGAAAATATAGAACCGCGAAGGAGAAATAATTTCAAACGGAAGAGATTTAGCCAATATATTTGAATGCTTTTTTGTATCGACTGTAGGTGACGGAGGAAAAGAGAGAAATTAAAAGAGCTAAGGATAGAGAGTATTATCAGAAAAAAAAGCTGGAAAGAAAGTTAAAAATGTTGAGATGACTGAGAGAGAAAAGCGAAAGCAAAGAAAAATTTGGAAAGAAGCACCAAAAAAATACAGAGAAAAGAAGAAGGCAATATCTAGTATAATAAACAATACTCCGCCCAATTCTGATAATGAATCAGCTGCAGCACGACATTCAGTAAGAAGAACAGTGGGAAGAAAAATTGTTCGGAAGGATAGAGCCAAAGCATATCGTAAAATAAAACAACAAGAGAAAACAATTGATAACATAAAACGCAAATATGAAACTTTAAAGAAAAGACTAAGAAGGAAAGAAAAGAGAGAACAGGAAAATGTTCAGGAACCAATCACTACTAACAGCAAAGTAGACGCATTGATTAAAAATATCGACGTGCCTCCTGAAGTGCGCAAGAATCTTATTTAACGAAGTACTGACTGTACTTTAAGAAAAAATTACAAAGAAAGAAAAATCTTCCAAAAATGCGTTAGCGGTGACCTAGTAAGGAAATATAAATTGCTTCATATGACGAAGACTTTTTTGCCAGAAGAGAAAAGTGCATCGATTCTGAAGTCTGATACCAAAATTCGTGAGGTTGTTTTGACGAAAGAAGTTTGTGGAAAAGTAAAAGATTTCTTCGAAAGAGATGACGTCAGCAGGATGTGCCCAGGCAAGAGAGATTTTGTGAAGAGAAACGGTATTAAGACGCAAAAACGCCTCCTTTTATTCACAGTTAAAGAACTAACGTCAAAATTTGTTCAACAAACTGGGATAAATTTATCTTATGCAACATTATCAAGAGCAAAACCGTTTTGGGTGGTAGCACCAACATTCAGAGACAGAGAATCTTGTTTATGTGTCAAACACGAAAATTTCAAACTTAAGCTGAACAAATTGAAAACCTTACAACAATTAGTTAATCACGGAAGTATAGAAAAAACCATCGAGTATAGTTGCGACAAAACATATTATGACTGCATGAATGGTTTGTGTGGTATTTGTAAAAATCCGAAGATCGAGTCACCTGATAATGGAGATTCCGTGACGTATCAAGCCCATGCAGTATGGGCTCATATGAAGCCAATCTTACAAATAATATTGGAAAATGAAGATATCAACACCATTCATATCTACTCTGATGGACCAACATCGCAATACCGTAATCGAACTAACATACATCTTTGGCTACAAACATTAATAAAGGAATTCAAACAGATAATCAAAACTACTTGGACATACAGTGAACCTGGCCATGGCAAAAGACCTATGGATGGCGTAGGTGGTACTATTAAAAGGACTGCCGATAGGCATGTGTTAATGAGACATGACATAAAAACATCCTCAGGCTTGGTAAATTTGTTTAAGAAGTTAGAATCAGAAGTTATAATTAAAACATACCGACACGACCGTTTTGAAAAACAACTAAAAATGACTGTATTATCTGATTGTTTATATCCCAACTATAAACCAGGAAACAACGAAATACCCTCAACAAAGTCATCAGAACCAAAAGACATTTGAATATAATTGATGTACAAGATTTGCTGCAATTGAAGAAAGGGAGCATTTACAACACTATTTACTCATCATCATCCGATGATGAGGATTTAATGTCGATTTCTCTTCGTCAGCAGACTACGCAAAAACCAATTGCTCTTGAAGCTGGTACATCTTACAATCAAGAGAAGGAAAACCTACACCCAAATTTAATATCACCTGGAACCTTTGTGTTAGTTAATGTACCGACACAAAAGAAAACTGTCAATTACAGATATGTTGCCATATGTAAGACAGATGTCGAAAAAGATGATGGAGAAATCCTAGTCACATTCTTGAATTCGGTGCGTAATAATTCAAACCAATTTAAATTAGATCCCAGTGATGTATCCTATGTTGCATTTGAACAAATAATAAGTATTATTACAACGCCATTGTTAAAAAAAGAAAATAATATAGAGTATTATTACTTTGAGACTGATATTGATGTTTATGAAAAATTCTAATGTTCGTTGCTTTTTATTTT